CCGGGGGGGGGGGGGACTCCCCTCCAAGCTCAGGCCAGCCCCAAACTTGCTTAGCTTCCCCATGGCAGATGCCTCATGCCCCTTCGGACCATTCTCAGGTTATTATGCATCTAATACTGTTCTTGTTTCCTCACTAACTGGGCAAGAGAGGACTGACGAGGAAAACCAAAATTCCTGACACTTGGAGTGCTTTTTGTTTCCAAACATTGCATTCTTCTTGAGTAATGCATCAAACGCATTGACTTAATTCCCCTTTAGCAGAATCATTTAAAAATCATTATGTAGCGCTTCTAGCTGTGAGAGTGGCCACCGACCACGGAGCAATGGCTTAATTTCCAAATTGAGCTTTTCCAAGCATCAGCAGAAAGTGCTTTCCCTTTTCAGCAGCCGCTGATTTATGAGCGCTCCAAGTCACATTGGTGCTGACGCATGAGGTGCATGTCAGTGAGAGCATTCTATCAGTGTCCAAAAGTGCTCTGTGCGCACCAGGGCGCCGTCCCTCCCTGTGCACGCTTGTGCGTGAGACGCGAGTGGTGCGCCCGAGGTGGGTGAGCAAACATAAAGGGATCAGGCAGGTTTCTGTTGTGTGGAAAGTTCCCCCAACTGGCCCCTGATCTTGCCTTTTGTGTGTGCAAACCTCTGGAAGTGAAGTTGGGGAGTCACTGGCCACGAAGTATGAAAGGACTTGAGGTCTTCTGCTTGAGCCCAACTCCTGAGCGACCCCCAAGGAGGCTAGCAGCTTCAGTGGGAGCAGAACGCCGACCCCGTTGGACCTGGGCCTGATCCAGATCAAGCATGGCTCTCTTAGCTGCTGCTTTTTTAAAGGAATTTCCATTCAGCGTCAGACCTGCTGCGTGGAACTCTTTCTCCAGGGTGGGCAACAGACAACACGGAATGTTCCTCACCATCGGAAGGGCCAGCTGAGGCTCTTGGGAGTTGTGGTTGCACACATGGGAAAGTGGCAATTGCCCGCTTCTGGCTTCTCTCCACTCTCCGGGGACCCATCGGAGCCGGTGTTGACTTTGTCCTGCTGGATCTGACTGAAGAACTGCCTCGCCCAGTCCAGTGGCCAGCCTCTGGGAAACCACAAGCAGGGGTGGAGGCCATCTCCCAGTCCTGCTGCCCTCCAGAGTAGCTGATATTCAAAGCTAGACTCCCTCCGACCGTGGAGGCTCCATTTAGCCGTTGTGGCGGATTGCTGTGCAATCCCTTCTGCGTGCGTCTAATCCCCTTTTCATACCAGCATGCTAAGAGTTGTACGCCTTTTCTTTGTCGAAACGGGCATAAGCCTGTGTCTCAAAATAGGTTTCCGCACCGTTCTTTTAACTCAAGGCTACTCGGCATTTACTGGGGCCTTGCAAGATTTCCCCCCTACATTTTGGCTCTGCTTTCTTTTCTTTCAGTGTGAGCCACTGAATTGCATCCTCTCTCCCTCCCTCCCTGTACAGTTCCGTTGGTTTGGAAGGTCATCCCAGAAAGGGTCAGCAAGGACTGGCACTTAGGGGGTTGTCCTTGGCAGGTGGCCATTCCCTGCCCTGGTGGCTTGCGCATCAGCACCGTGGGCCTCCATGGCCCAGATGTGGCCTCCAGCACATCCCCAGTGTGCATTCAGACGCTTGGTGCCACCCAGGGACCCATCAGAGCCAGTGTTGGCTTTGTCCTAATTCCTGCGCAGCGGCACCCCCACCCGCCTGTCCAAACCCAGATTCCTTCTCCCTAGTTGCTCGGAGTCAATGTTGAGCAGCTGGGTCAGGAAGCAGGATAGGGCCCTTGCCCCACAGACCCCACCTCGTTGTGTCTCTGAAATGTTAATTAGTCTTGCCTGCTGATATTCATCTAATCTTATCTCTCACAGAAATTTGCTTTGTTTCGAGCACAGTGCACCTGCTTGCAAGTTATCCTGCCTGTGGTGCGGGACTCTCCTACAGAGCAGGCTGTCGTTCTTTTGAAACAAAGCAAGATTTCCCTTTCTTAGGCACTGGGAAAAACAAGAATGTCATCCTTATTCTGAGAAGGAGGGGAAAAATAGATGGGTATTAATTAAACTTCGAGAGCCAGAGGAGGGGAATGAGAAGAAACATTATTTATGGCTTTAATTTTCCAGATGTTCCTCTTCCCCGCCTTCTGCCACTTAACATTAGGAGTGGCGGTCTTTAATTAGGTACAGTGACTTCTCTGGATAATGGGGGCAATTTTGCATGCATACTTGGCATGGAATACCTCCGATGCTTTCCCACAAGCCACGGGAGAGGATGACAAAAGCGTCTTTCGTAATGATGCTTCAAGGATGTGCTGACTCAGAGCAACACTGAAAATAAGAAAAAATTAGGCTGGCCCGCCTGGGGCAAGAGTGGCGACCCCGCAGGCTCTCAGCCCCGATCTCTGGACACTCCCACTGGCCACACTCTCTTAAGGTGGCCATATGTCCTACTTTACAGGGACTGTCCTCTGTTTGAAGGGCTGCCTAGTCCATGTCTGATTAAGAGATAAGGAAGAACCTTACCGAGCCAGGAAACCACATGAAGTCACCCATCAGTTCTTGGACAGCTGAGTAAAGAGCCAGGTACCCAATTCACCTGGCTGCAACCTTTCCTGCTGTGATAAAATCTCTCCTTGCGTTCAAGTGATAGTCACAGAATTAAACATGCCAATTAGCTTCTGCAAATGCTGTGGAAATGAATTTCCCAGTTGGACTATTGTGACGCTTTCTACGTGGGGCTGCCCTTGAAGATGGTCCGGATACTTCAATTGGTGCAAAATAGAGCTGCCAGGTTGCTGTCGGGGGCCTGTCACTCTTCCCATATAACACCAGTCCTCTTCACTGGCTCCCCATGGAAGTCCGGGCCCAATTTAAGGTGCTGCTATTGACCTATAAAGCCCTAAACCTGAAGGGACGTCTTTTTCCCTACATGCCCTCCCACCCCCTAAGATCTGCAGCAGAGGCCCTGTTCTGGGGACCCCCCTTGAAGGAGGTTAGGCGAGAACATACTCGGAGGGGGGCCTTCTCTGTGGTGGTGCCCCGGCGTTTTGCCGCTTGACTCACGCTTCTTGTTCTCCCATGAATAAACTGAAGGCAAGAAGAAGGATCCACATAATAAATCAAGATCACTAACGAAACAAAGGAATTTATGAATGATAATTCATAGTCTGTGGCCATAAGCTTATGGGTCAGCTGCAGCAAAGCAATCTAAGCATGTGTTCCGTGCTTAACAGGAAATTCAAAATGCAATTTGTATGGCCTATACAGGATTATATGCCCATTTTTCTTTATGTGCGTATTTGTAAGAAAACATTGAGAGCTGTAAGCTGTGGTTGTGAACTGGTACACAGCCTGCACCCCAGAAACTTCTCTGCACCCCCTAGAAATAACTGAGCCCCCCCCCCCTCACCACCTGCAGGCCAGCAGAGTTTGCAGATGTCCAGGTTTTCTGATGCAAAGGCTCCTAGTCCAGAATCCAGAGCTGAGGTTCAGATAGCAAAGGGGAGCTAGAAAGAAACATATGGATTTTAAAATCCCACCTTCCATGACTAAAACCAGAGTAAATTTGCAATTGATTTTATGCCATGCGGGGATTTGCTGAACATTTCCATTCGGCATTTCATAAAGCCTGCAGACTTCCTCTGCTCTTGCAGGTAAGAGGCATTTTTTAAAAATCGATGCCGTTGTTGACTAGAGTGTTATATTTCCATTCATTGAAGGCGAGTCCATGTAAAAGTCTGAACTAAAGGGACGGTCCGGACTCTTAAGAGTCCCCAGTCCTGCAAAGCTTCCAGGGAGAGGCACGCAACCACCCGTCCTTAAATTCACAATCTTTGTGCAGTGCTCCCTTTTCTGTTTTCAGTGCTGGAGATGGATAGCACCAGCCCTGGAAGGCAAAATCCCACTCTTATCTCAAAGCACGAGGCAAGAGCAGGTGTCCTTTCAGCCTACCAAGTCAGGAGGGTCAGATGACACTGGGGGAGAGGATTCTGGGGACCCCCCTCTGACATCATCCAGCCCCCAGTGCATGTCAGTCCAGCCGGCGGGGCTGGAACGGTTTCCCACCCATGTTCTACAAAGTCCTAAATGAGGTGGAACGGAGTCCCAGAGTCGGAGCAGACTCCTAGTGGAAACCAGCCTCTGCTGAAACCAGGTTTTCTTTCACAAGGTTTTCTTGTGTTTCCGAAGACCTCCTTTCCTGCCTTCTCTCCGTTCCTCTGCCCAAAGCAGATTTACTGGCGCACGTGCTTCCCGGCTGCTCTGCTAAAACGGCCTTCTCAGTCCTCTCTGTCGCTGCATCTCACTCCGATCTTCTTGCATCCGTTCTGCTGAGTGATCCATTCAGTGCTGAGCTGGTACTGACCTTGGCATGAGCCAAGGTTCGCCTTGCTGGTCTCTCCTTAGACCCATTCAGAAGCCATGTCCTGGTCTTGCACTGAAGTTCTGGCTCACCTACTCGAGGCTTGCATGCTTTGACTAGCAGCATCTTGCCGGGACTCAGGCGGATCGGTGCCATTCTCATCCCTGCGGAAATTCTTTAGCACAGAAATCCCAGGAATCAATCCTCTAAATGTTTGCCTCATGCCATAGGCAATGTTTGGCCGTCTGGGTTCCTTCCCCCCACCCCACATTACAAATTAATCAGCTGTGTAGAAGCCAGGCATGTCTCTTTCCAGTGCCAGCAGAATATAACAGACTAATAAGAACAGAAATATGCTTAATAGCTGCCCCACTGGGATTCTGCTGGCGTAGCTTTTCTGACCGCAGTGCAAACATTTTAAAAGGCGCGTTCTGTGGCTGCGTACTTTCCACTTTTCCACATGGATCCGACATTAGTGCTGAGCCACGAAAGGGTTACCTCCATGCAGGATAAACAGGACAGGCCTAATAAAGACCCCCGTCTGGCTGATAACCACTGACACGCTTAGTATCCCATCTGCAAGAGATGTTTTCAGCAGCCGTCGTCTGTCTTGCTGAGATAAGGAGTGACATTCGGCCCGTGTCTCCCTTTTTTCCGCAGGACCTGTTGTTCAGCGTGTGCGCGCTCAATATTATCTCCACCATTGTCTGTGCGCTGGCGACCGCGATGTGCTGCATGCAGATGGTCTCCTCTGACGTGCTGCAAATGGTGAGTGAATCGCAGGGGGAGCCTCCAGAGGGCTGGTGGTGCCTGATCCCTGCCTGACCCTGGAACCTAAGCAGGGCCAGGGCTGGTTAGACCCTGGATGGGGGACTTCAGAGTAGGATTCTAAGATGACTGGTGTGAGCCGTCCAGAGAGCTTCGTAGAGATGATGATGATGATGATGATAAAATTATTATAATAGTAATTGTAAGTTATAGTTTATTTTATAATAATAACATCATTATTAATAAAAGTATAGTTTATTATAAAATGATAACATTACATTAATATTATAATAGTCTATAATAATAGAATAGTAATTATATGATGATAATTTAACAATCAAATTAATAATAAAATTGTTGTTGTTGTTATTGTTGTTGTTATGAAGAAGGTGGTGGTGGTGATAGATGGCCTTGCTTTACCTGTGCAATACGAATGGGCTCTCCAAGGACCAGGTCTGCCTCCCCATTTCAAGCTTGGAAAGTGGGGAGTAATCATTAGTTATTCGTTATTGCATTTATATTCCATTTCCTCCTCTTCCAAGGAACCCAGAGCTGCATCCCATGGCTGTGAGTGGGCATGCCTGACTACCCCCTCCTTAGGAAATGTACACCAATATGAAGAGCTGTCCAGTTTTTAACATGTTCTCAAAAATGTTCGAGCAACAAAAAGCCGGGAGAGCGGGGGCCTTGGAACGCTCCTCTGCAGAAAGCATTTGTCGTGAGCTCGCAACACCGCACTGCGCTCGCGGTAGTTTGCAGACGCCTTGCACAGTGTCCAGGGGATTTTTAGAGTGAGGAAAGTGTGGTATTATCAGCAAGTGGTGGAATGAACCAGAACAAGGATCTCATGCATCTTTGCAATTCCGCCATACTGCAGTGATGTCTTTGGGCTGGGTGATGGGGCACAGAGGGGGAAATAGCTAAGGAGAAAATGTGCAAATAAAGCAGGTCTTAATCTCACAAGGATTCCAGCAGCAGAAGCTTCGGGAAAGTGGCAGGTTAAAGGCCTCCTGTAGGGAAGCGTGGCTGCCCACAAGCAGGTACCCAGCTCACCTGTGGCAGCCTTCTCTACCGTCCTCCTCTTCTTCACTCTGGGCTTCCCCAGCTGAGTTCTGTTAGACTGTTCTGCAATTATGTTGTGATCTTTTAGGACTGTTTTATCATTGGTGTTTTATGCATCTTTGCTGCCTTGCTACCAGGTTTTTATGATACAGATGCTAACGTTGTAGGTCTTCTTGGGAGGCCATCTGCCCTGAAAGACAGCCCAGAAATTGGTTCATAAAAAGACCAATCAGCATATGCAAATGTGATGCAAATCGGGGCCCACTTTCCCCCCTCTTTCTGAGCATCTCGGAGACGCATCATGACCACTCCTGGTGCGAGTGGGTGTGATGGTCTAGGAACATTTGTCAGCAAAGCAGGTGTGGAACCGTGAAGAAGCAGCGTGTGCGGCAAGGGTAGCCTTGTGGAAACACACGGCCTTCTTCTCCAGGAGGAAAAACTGCACCTATTCCCAGGAAGTGCAGTGGGCTCTGTCGGAGCGGGAAGGGCCTCTGACTGGCAAGGGGGCCGTGAGGAGGCCGACTCGGGGAGCAGGGTCTGGCTCCACAGTCCTTTTCGTGCGAGGGTCCCAGTTCAGCCCCTGCAGCTCCCAACGAACAGGGCCAGGGAGCAGGAGAAGAAAGGGGCTTCTGAGACCCCGGAGAAGAGGCTAGTCCAAGCGCGGGAGAGTAGCCAGCAATCGGCCAGATCCAGGCATGGTCTGAGTCCCTCCCAGCCCCCCGTTGGCTCTTGCACAGCATTGAAAACCATCACCATCAAAATGGCACTGTCGTGAGCTAGCCTCCCCTCCCAGACGAGACAAGCACTTCAGCAATTATTAAGAGTCATTGTTCCTTACAGCTACAAGGCATTCACAACCTCCGAAACACGCACTCCAGGCAGGAAGGTGACCCCTCGCTCTGCCCCCCTTTGCCCAAAGCTCTGCTTATGCGCCCTTCAGGACTGGTCTCTGGAGGGGGGCGTGCTATGGAAGCGGCTCCAACGCTCTCCCCATTGAGCCCCCAGTCGGCCCAGCCAGTGGGTGCACCAGCGGGCTCTTGCATCCACGTCTCCTGGGGGGTCAGGTCTCCTCCCCAGAACCCCTCCCCAGCCTGTTCTCTGCCGGCTCCTTCCCACCATCAGGAGTGGGAGGGGGCTCAGTGGTCGTCTGCGAAGTGCTTGGACCCGGAGCCGGCTCGGGCGGACTCGCCGGGAGGGTTTGGGCCGCCGGGGCCTCACCAGCCTCAATGGCTCCAGGATCGGGCGAGAACGCTGGGCCACGGCTGCGTCAGCCGTCCACTCCCCCTCCGCCGGGCCTGAGCCGCCATTCCCACCACGGCCCTCCGCCTCCCGTGCGCACCTGGGAACCTCACCCGAGTGCATGCGCACGACAGAAACTTGGAAGTGAATATGAGGCATGAAGAAGGTCAGATTTACCTTATCTGCAACTTCAGCTTGTCCGTTTTAGCATTCCGTAGACAATGCAGGACAGTTAAAAGCGCAGATGAGCTAAACTGAACCGTTTGGCACAAGAGAGCAGCTTGTCACAACATCCGTGGCGAGCTGGCTGTTTGCTTTTAATGCATTTTCCGTTAATTGCTCTTCCTGTGGCAGCCACTGGAGCGGCCCAAATGTTGCTCCCAGAGGCAGCCAAGTCCCCGACTCCTTACAAAGCCTCTTCTTCGGCTCTGTTGCAAGATTCTCTCCACATCTCAATGCACATCTCTGGTGTCTATATATCTCAATTTTGGGATACAAGGGCATACTCTATAGAGCAAACAATGGGGTTTCAATTTCCATCAGTTCTGCCCAGCATCCCATAGTAGGCATGTTACATGCACCTTAAACTATTCTTTGCTCCTCTGCCATCATCCCCAGCCCAAATCAAAATGAGCTTGCTTCCCTCAGGCTGGAAGAAAGGTGTGCTAATGCCCTGGATTCATATGACAATCTTTAATCAGCAGGGTGCAAATAAAGCGTTGTTTTTTTTCCAAAGGCCCAGCACCAGGCAAATGCATATCCCACGCCCATGTAGCCTGCAGCACAGGTGTTGTGAAGGAAAGGAAGTTAGAAACAGAGAAACAGAGCAAGTCAGAGGGGACCTCCCAGGCCATCTAGTCTGACCCCAGCTCCAGCCAACTGCGCAGGGTGTTTGCTTATTTCTAGTCCACTTCAAGGCCATCTGCTCTTGGTGACGTGCCTTTTGGGGCTCACCTCAATGAACCTCAAAAGGGGGTGAGAATTAAAAACAAAGCAAATAATCTGATCAAAGGGGGAAACATTTCCTGCATGCAAGCTGGTGCTCTTTAGGACCTGCTTGGCATTGTGTCTCTGAGATAGAAAGCATAATGCTTTTAAACCGGAGCTCCACAACCAAAACATGCCTATAAGGTTTTCCTTCCCCTTTCCTTTTGCATCAGCTTTTGCTTGGCTTTGTTTTGGTGAAACTCCCAATTGGAAAATAAATAAACCAGAAACAACAACCATAAGCAAGCGTATAAACAACTGGAGGATTGGGTGGAGCACTGTTTAACCCAGTGTGGCTTTTCTTGGGTTCTGAGGGGCACATGTGCGTATAAAGCAGAGGTTCATGAGCACTTTGGGCCCCCGTATGGACCCCAACGCTGGTGTGGCGCCACCCCAACCTCTCAGAGGGTGATGGGGGGTTTGAACCTGCATGCTCGTATGTGCCCTGGGGATGTGGGCCTCGTGGCCCAAAAAAGCTTTTCGTAAGCCCCCCCACCCCACCCCCGCTGCTCCAAACAGAGCCAGATCCTTCACGCATGTCCTGCAGGCAGTGACTTTTTCAGCTGGAGAGGCCGGCGGGGATGCGGAGCCCATGGCCCGTCCCCGCTTGGGAAACGGGCCATCGGTGCCTCTCCCTTCGCTTGCCCCGGCCAAGATTCATGGGCACTTGAGCAGGGAGGGGAGGGAAGAGCCACCAGGAGGAAACCGTGCCATGTTAAGTCTTTATTCCTCACACCTGAGCACTTCCGGGGGTTCGATTTAGTAGCCTTTTTCTTTGATCCTTGTGTTGCTCAGACTCGCTTTCTTTTTCTCCCCCACATCCAAAACAACTCTTGGTAGCATTACAGGACTCATTTGGTGTCTTATTTTGTCGCTCCTGCCAATTCTAGCTAAGCATGAGGCTGTTGTAAGAGTCAGACTCCCGCGTGTGCAAAGGCATTTTTTCTGCCTTGCTGCCATGGTGGTTCAGTCGCTAGCACTGATCTTGAACCCTGAGCCAAGAAGAGGCAGTTTGCGCAGCTGGGTATAACATCAAACACCTCGGAGAATAACCACGGCTATTCAGGGCAATGTAACACTGAGGTCCTTTTTGTGCAAGTTAAAATCTTTTTTTATGAGTGCGGCAGAGGCGGCGGGGGGGGAGGGGATTAAATATACATTCTGGCAAACGCACCTTCCCAGAATTGTCTAATCTCTTCTTGTTCCTCTTTTCCCAGATGAGCCCAAAGAGCACAAGTCTGTCCTTCCTCTGAACGCTTGGTCAATATTTCTCCCTTCTTTGTGCTCCTTTTTATCTGGGCGGTGCCTTCAAGGCATTAATTTTTGTACAAAACCTCCATCCCCTGCGCCCTGCACAGACACCCACCCCCTCCCCTTAATCCTCCCAACCTGTCCCCAAAACTTTCAGGGCTGGATAACCCTATCCAAATTGTTTCTTGGGGAATTCCGTTTAAAAGCTGCAGCTGTCTTCCGGTGTAAAGTTTTGCACGATGTCAGAATGACCTGGCTTGAGTTGCCGGGAGCTGAGCAGGGCTGCCAAGGGAAGGGCATGTGGGAGGACGTGCATCCATAGGGTCACCAAAAGTCAGAGACAACTTGATGGCATGTGACAGCGATGACAGCAAAATAATTTATTTTTCTATTAAGCGCCGTCAGCGTGCATGGAACATTGCTTCCTCTAATGGCACGATCCTTTGCAAGTGAGACAGAAA